CTACCAGAGTTTTCTCCGTAAGACTCTTTACTCCTTTGAGGTAAAGACAGAACGAGGAAAAATCCCAACTCATGGCTGGACAGATTTCTACAACAGAACTATGACAAAACTGTGCCAACAGTACTTTGTTACTAAAGATGAAGAGCTGTATATTCCTAGAGTACTAGCATTTAGTGTGAACCACTCAGCTATTACTCACTGACGTTCCTCTCCCCGTTTTGTTTCCTTCGAACAAAAGACTGACCCTGCAGTATTCAGTAAGTCTGACTGACTTTCATTACTTCACATCAGTCCAAAGAAAATCCTGGAAAGTCCAAGAGCATTCAGGAAACTAAGTTTTGCTTTTCTTCATGTGAGAATTAAAGCTCCTAACTGATAGTCCAGAAGCATAAATTTACAGAGATTTACTTAACTTTTTCAGTAACCAAAAGTTAAAATATTAAAGGGAGGCATAATGAACTTTATAACATTTTCCACCCTAATTTGGCTTATTATTGTAACTTTCAACTTTTCATACCAGACCTTCTCAGTCAAAACAGGATAGAAGAAATAACAGATAGATCAAGAATTAATGTCTGCTCTTACCTCAGTTGTCATTACCAGACAAGAAGCTGTAGGATTAATGGTGACATCCCCAGTCATCAAGCCAACATCCTGGAATTCTTCATACATCTCACGGTACTTCTGATTACTCAGAGCTTTAATCGGACTCGTAAATATCACACGCTGTTTCTCCCTCAAAGCCAGGGCAATTGCATACCTGCATTCAAGCATTGCACACATTAAAGTTGTCAGGAAGCCATTCAGAAAATATTACTTTCTCTAATCTTGTGCTTAAAAAAATAAAAAACGTAACTCAGAACATCAGTAGAATGATACGAAGTGTTACACATCTAGATTATTGTTCAGTGCAATCTTAACTCAACTAGGTATGCCTCTTTGGAGACTGACAACCACTGGCAACAAGTTAACTGATTTTTATGGACACTAGAGCACATCTAGTTTAATTTAAAAATCTAATTGTCATTGTCTCATGACAAACTATTATTATTTGAACATATGGTCTAATATATCTAATATATCTCATTTCTCACCTCACATCAGCAAAGCCACTCCACTGTCAAACCAAATCCTGACCAAAAGTGTACACTATCTTTTAAACATTTCTTGCCCAACAAACACCAAGCTGCAAATTAAACCAAACTGGTGCTTCTGACAAAGCAAACAAAACACACAAGAAACTCCTTACTAGTTACAGGCAGGGGCTAGAAAACAAAGGGGTTTTTTTCTCAATCCATGCAAACCTGTACGGCAGAAACTTTCTCCTCAATCTATACAAAAACACCTGAACAGAACCAGATTGTTTAAAATAAAAGGTAAGCCTAAGCACTAATTGAGCCTTTCACTACCCACTAAACAAGTTGAAAGAATAATTTTTATATTCAAGAGTAGTCAATTCAATTCTAACACTGATGGTCCAAACTTTGTATCAAGAAACTGAGACACAACAGTTACTGAAGGTTCAATAAAATGACAGGACAAACGTCACACCATTCTCTTATTAGAGCCTGTTAGAAAATTACTTACTCCGCACAAACAGTTTTACCAGCTGATGTATGAGCCGACACCAACACAGACTGGTTATTATCTACACAAAGAATAGCTTCTCTCTGAAAGGCATCAAGAATAAATGGATATTCCTAAAAGGAAAGGAAAGCAAAAACATTACATATTTTTAACACAGACTGTTACATATATCTAATTAATTTTCTGACTGACCTAGTGTGCAAATTACAGGCAGAAATTAAATCCCGCAGATATCTGTAGCTTCAATTGATCTTAATCTAGCATTTTGCAGTGACTTTGCATTTAAATTATTTTATCTAACACCACAACTAAGATCTTTGCTTACATCTTCTGGTCATGCCAAATTAAAATCTTGCCCCAGTGACTGAATTTTCTCTAATTTACTAACTCAGGAAGAAAAACCACAGTGTATGACCGAAGCCACCACCTGATGTTGTAGAAGAGAACTGAAACCACAACAGCCTATCCATCCCATTCAACCACGCCGTTTTACTCTGCGAAATTTAAAATACAGAAACACCAATCTCACTCACAGCAGGCCATTCTTCAAGATACTCTTTTCCACACCTTACTGACAAAGTACATCACTTTTCCCTCTACCCTCACCTACTGCCTAAAGCACATGCAAAAACAAAAACAAATGCAATCACGTACTTTTGCAGCTTTTCCAGTTCTTGGCTTCAGACCTGTGAACTCCTCATCTGCTGGAAGCGCAACCTATAAAACACATTTCAGATACAGACAGTTGCAGAATTCTCCGTGTCCACTCCACTGACGTGGCAAGCTATGAAGAGCTTGGGCACGACATGTAAAGTGCATGAAAACTATTCTATTATCCTGCTTCTATAAGCTCATGCATCAAGGCTTCCTTCCTTCCTTCCTCTCAAGAGTTTTTCAAATAGTATCTCTACCCTCCTGCCACAATGCTTGTTCTCTCACTTCTCTTGTACTCCCTACTGTCTTGTGTAAAATATTTCTGCTTCACCTACCTTGGAACGTTAGCTTTCCAGACCAAGAAACTGTCATGGCTCCTGGCCAACAGACATTAGAAACAACTGCACAGCTCACACTGACCACACTCCCTTTCCAAGCACAAAGTATCTATACAGATAAAGTTCCTGTTCCTGGTCAATATCTAACTTCCATTCACACTACATATTTAAGCTCTGTTCAGTGACTCAGTGATGGCAAACCTTTATCAGACATCTCAAGACGACACAGACTGAGTCTGTGAGTGAGTTTTAAAACCTGTATTGCCAATTGTATATACAGTTCCCTTCCTACAAATCTCTAATCATGCAGGGTCCGTGAACACAACGCTAATTAATCTGAGCTAGTTCTCTGGAAGACGGCACAGAAAAGCAAATGAGCATAACAGTACAAGGAAGTTAAAATTTACATATTTAATTCTCCCAGAAGCTTTTTCTGACAACCATCTTTGGATGAAGGATGATTAAAAAAAATAATCAGTATTCGTACTTTTTCATATTTTAAATAGTATTTATGTTTACTAACACAATTTGAAACTGGATGGTTTTCATTATTTGGCTTTTACATAACAAAATACTTTTTTCTCTTTTTACTAAAACCTGATTTCTAACAGTAATCAGCCTTATGATAAAGCCTTTAATTTTTGAACCAGAACAGCAAAATATTCCAATGCTCTGCTGCACACCGAGATCGCACTATGAACACAAGCCAATTTTAACAACCAGAGGTTTTCCTTCTCAACAACAATACTCAGAATGCAACCAGTACCTTTCAAATATGGAAACCTATCAACATTATCATTGAGTCTTTCACAATCACTCATTTTATTTCAAGTACCGTTGAAACTGCTTCTGGTAAGATATCCTGTTAATTTTTCAAGTGCATTCTGTGCACGCTCAATGCCAGATACAAACCTCAAACTCTTTATAAGCCTGTTCTGCCTTAAACATAATATGAAATAATAGTAAGTACAATCACAACAAACAATATTATTATACTGGCAGTAATACCTATGATTCTATGGAACAAGCCTATACTTTTCACATGCATTGTCACTGCACTCACCTCATGTGTACAACCTTCAACAGTCTCCACAGCTTGCACCTTTACTTGAGGCATCAGCTCTGCCAGACTAAAAGCATATGAGTTAGGATTGACAAAAATTTTCTGATTAAAGTTTTCTGATTAAATGGTGACTTTATTCCAATAAACAACAAAACAGAATTCAAGACCTGTGTTCCTGCTGCTAGTCATGACATCAAATACCAGCAGCCTGGAGCAACCCAAGCAGCTGCCTGAGGACGAGATCACTCTTTTCTTTACCAGTCTCTTCTCTCATGGCCACAAGAAGTGGGTAGTGGCTAGTGTCTCACTGCATAAAAGGTGGGGTTTTCTGACAGTTTTAACTTACTTAGTAAGCTACTGTGGGCAAGCAGACGTTTTACTGGAACCACTAAAACAGAAACTGACTTAAAATGTTGACTCTGGTTCTGCTTTGTTTCTATACAAGTACCCTTTATTTACAATATTCTGAGAAGTCTCCTCATGACTTTCCCACAGAAAATCTTACCTTAAACCTAAGGAAAATTACCATGTAAGACCAAATGACAACCCAGACCAGAATTCTGTCTGACAGAAGTTAATAATACATCATTCAGAGGAAAGTGTAAGAACACAGCAAGCACATATTTTTTATTTCTATAGTAGAGTTTTCTAGCTCTTGAGGTACATGCTTGCACTTGACAGGTCTGGATGAATTTTCATTCCATGAACTCTCCTAATAGTTTTCTGAACCAAGATAAACTTCCAAGTTCCCAAGAATCTCTTAAGATACACTAAGCTGAAAAAGTGCCCACACTGTCCCCCTTCAGTCTTCTTCCAAAACCCCTCATAACACCTGTCATTACGTTCTAGAAAGAAAGGAGGGAGAGGCATGCAGATCCTAAAGCACAGAAATGGTATTCTGGCTTCCCTTCAGCTGCCTTATCTCCCAGTTGTCGCCATGTCCAAGTACACCAACTCTCTATGTCAAATACCTACCATTTGTCCTCAAATTTAAAAATATGTCCACACTTAAGATTCCAAATATTTGCTGCAGTTATAATCTTACACGCATCAAAGACCTCGTTTCTGTCTCCTTGGTCAAATTTTTATTCCTGCATCTCAAACCAATTACGTTTTCCAGTGCTGTGGTACACAGAAAGCCTGCCTCCTCCCACCTGGCTCACTGCCTATCACTTGCTATACAGCTGAAATTAACATGATGGCTTTGACCAAAACCCACCGATCCATATGCAACAACCACAAATACGTGGACATTTCATACTGCAGTTGCCTATCCATCTACAGTATTATTTTAAAGGTGCCCAGTGTTTGACACGGTTGAAGCTGTACTACCAGCACATCCTCACTTATACAGACAATGGGAAACTGACTTCATAGACAAATTCATCTTTATATGAAAACACTGCAAAGCTACTTACATCGACTGTTCCCAAGGGGCACATGGCTAACTAGTACATCTTGCTATGATTTCCTCACACATTCAGCTGGGCACTTACTTAGCATCTTCTGATACAACATCCTCCAATTTTGGCTTCTTTCCCAGAACGGCATCTTCTGTACTATCAACCTCAATTTCCCTTTTGGGCTTCCCTGTCACAGCTACTGAAGATTTTTCCTCGGATCGTTTTCTGCAACGTAAATAGACACCACATGTAAAGTTTGACTCTTTTATGTATGTATTTTCAGAAAGGAAATCCGATGTCCCACGAGCAACACCGATCACATCGCATTCAGGCCACAGCCCGGGGAACTCCACCCACAAAAACCGCCG